GCTGGTAAACACGTAAAAGGGACATTTAAAAACCCTGTAAATTTAGAGAAAAAACACGACATCGCTAATGTAATTATGACTGAACGTGCAAATTATGCATATTATCAACAAAATCTTAAGTCAGACGGCTGAATTTATACCGTATCACAGAAATAAGTCTCCCTAAACGCTTTGATAACACCTCACATCTACAAGAAACCTTCAGAATTGTCATTTCATCATGCCCTTAATACTTTAGATTCGAGTCAGGTTTTGAACAATATACAAGAGTTTATTTTTTTGGTTATTAGTAATAACTTCATTTAATATTATGTTTTTCGTACAATATAGAATTCGCAACACAAACTATTTCAACAAGACTTGTATTCTTATTTCTTGATCCATCCTCTCGATAAATATCGAGTGGTCTCCAGAGGGATGTAAGGAGTTGAGGAATCATGATCTATGATAAGTAGGTGTATTTGAATTATAGTAAAAACTAAGAATCCCAGAAATAACGCAATTTAACCAAGAAGTGCTAGATAAGCACGAATGAATGTACTGTATTTGGAACTCGAAAGTAAGCATTCAACAAGTACAAAGGTATCGTTAGTTCTTACAAACACCATATCCGCCTCAGCTTAAATTATAGTATAAGTGTCTGTAATCAATTGTACATCTTCTACTTAAGTTCGTCCCGTATCTGCCCGACACTGTATTGGATAAAGATCCTGTATTATCTAGAATGTACTCATTAGTATTAAAATTAACAACCAAAATGCGAACAGACTTACTTGGTCCCTGGAATTGTATTTGATCAACATGTCGGTTGTTTGCACTTCGGTCAATGATATCTAGAATTCACGCCATAGATTTCCCGACATTATTCATTACAATACCCGTGGCTGAACCAAAATCATTCCCAAGATTTTATGTAATTTCTGCAGACTCCAAACACATATTCGAACAGAGAATTCTTCCTTTCAATAGCTTTCATGACAAAAAGTCAAGTATTTCTATATTGCAGTAGAAACGTATCTTGGAGGGTCGGTGAAATTTCACTGAGCTCTAGCCAAATCATCTGGCAGTTGGGCCATTGAATATCGAACAAATCATTGATACGCGTCAAGGCCAAGGACAACCAACGCGCATCAGTTAATCGTACGCCACAGACTGGTCGGAACGGACTGGCAGGTAAGCCACGGATTTTCGCGCACACGTTACATGTTGTCGTGGAATTTTTGTGTCGTTATTTACCAGCTATTAACAGGCTTTTTTGCATGACACATCAATTTCTGTATTGCTAGTGCTTGTAACATAGTTTTTATTCCAATTTATTAGCAGTTTGACGTATTTCTTGCTCACCACGTAAGTAAATCTGAAGTTAGCTTAATATAGTTATTTGTAACAATACAAACTCAGGCAAGTAAAGTTAACCATGTTTCTAGTCAAAAATACATCACAGATTGAGTTTTCATGAAAATGAACCGTAAAATCTTTTAAATATGGTTCACCTCCTTGATTGCGGTGACGGTGAACATGGATGTCGGTAGTTGTTTATAAAATGAGGCAATGGTCTTACTTTCGCTTGTATCTACTTTAACTAATATATTTCTGTAATAACATCCTTTGTGTTGTACAGTCTTCAAAACACCTATAGCACCTTGATACGTCAATGGGGTAGTCCACGTAGGATGCTGACCGCGCACTAACAAACAGTCTGAAGCATTAACAGGTCTAGCTTGTAATGACTGTTGAGAAATGCAGTCAACATGTTGAATTTCTTTGGCACTCCTGTGCTGAACCATATAGTCATAGGCACTCGAAGCAATACCCCATCATTAAACCATAGCAGCTGAGGAACGTGCTAAGGATTTTTCAGGGTGATCAATAGACTTTAAAGCTTCATGATCCGTAACAATAGTGAATTTCTTTTTGAATAAATATTTATGAAGTCTTTTAACAGCCCAAAACACAGTTAATGCTTCTCGCTGAGTCTGTGAATGACCTCGTTCAGTGACAGTGAGTTTGTGTGAAACACAAATAACTGGTCTACCTTCCTGTTCCAAAACTGCACCAATTCCTACAGGTGATGCATCAGTAATAAGCACAGAATGTACACTAGGGGAGTACGTTCGAAGAACAGCATCACTTTGAAGAAACTTTAGTAGATTACGTAAGCATGACTCTTGTTTCCCACCCTATTTGAATGAATTGGATATCAAAATACTAAATAAACAATTTGCATGACAAGAAAAATTAGAAGTGAAACGGGATTAGTGTTCAAGGGCACTCACTAGTGGACGTAGTTCTGCAAGTTTTTTCGGAGATGATGTATTTGTCAGTGGAGCTAGACGTTTCATATCTGGTTTAACACCATTACTGTCAACTAGGTATTCAATACTTTAAAACTAGAATAACAAAATGAACACTTATTTGGATTCACTGTAATATTCTTCTCAAATAAACGACGCAATAAAGCAACAAGTCTCTGGTCATGAACTACCTTGTCGGAACCATGAACCATGAGATCATCCTAATAAACTTCAACACCTTCAAGATCACTAGCTACTTTATTCATAACTTCCTGAAATATGGCTCGAGAACAACTTAGACCAAATGGAAGGAAAATGTATTTGAACAGTCCAAAAGAAGTGTTAAGTTCCGTCAAAATAGCTGAAGATTGATCTAGAAGGAGTTGAAGATAAGCATCTTTTGGGTCAACTTTCGAGAACACTTTAGTACCATGAAGTCGATCGAAAATATCTGCAACATCCACCATCGTGCACGTTTGCATCAACAAACAGGATTTCATTGTTAAACTACAGTCACCACATATTCTATAGGTCTTGTCATCCGGCTTGAATGGCGTAACAATAAGAGTGCCCCATGGTGAAGACTGAATCAGTACAATTACATCTTCCGTACATAAATCGTTTAATGTTTTATGTACTGCTTCTCGAAGACCAAAAGGAATTATTCGTCTTTTAAGAAAGACTGAATCACCCTGTAATTGAAGTTTTATAGGCTGAATTTTCATGTCTCCACTGCACTTTGCACACGTAGCTCTGAAATCTTCAAGAAAGCATTGAAATTTTCTTTAGAAACTAGGAAAGACAACTCCACTTTAGGTCTTTTCAAATTCTTTGAACCCAGTATTGACAGTCCTCTTTCGCTAACTAAAAATTCACAAGCTTTGTATGAAGAATTATCGTCTCTTATTAGCAATTCACAACAACCTCGTATGGGCAGGCTGTGTCCAGTAATCCCCAATATTGATACTTTAGTGGGTCGTACCACAACATTAGGATCTAAAAATTTCAAGTTCTTGAATGAAATAATGGACTCTATAATGCCCGTGTCTAAAATAATGTCATGAAATGAATCAAAGGATATATATATAATTCCTTTTGAATATGAGCATTACCTTTCGAAATGGTGTGCAAAAACAAATGATCATTAAGAACAACCGAATTATTGAGATTTAAATTACAAGATTTAGTACGACTCGAAACAAAATGAACTGCAGTTTTGCATACCGACTAATGTGTCCTATCTTACAACACCTAAAACATTTAGCATTAAGAAGTGCACATGAATTACGAGAATGAAATTTGACACAGGATAAACATTTACCAAAATTGATCTCGCCTCTGTGATTTGCTTTACAATTCCTTGTTGGATCACATTTCATATTTACACGAGAATAGGAATCACTATTAAACGAACGCAAGTTTGATTGACTCTGAGATTGTATTCCATCATGACGACTAAGCAAAGCATTAGAAACTTTCATCGACTGGATATTAAGTTCATTCACTGCCTCGTAGTTAATACACGCAGTTCTATCACTTTGAAAAGAACAGTTCGGTATTATTAACGGCTCTCTTTCCAAACCCGGTATGTTGATTCCTACAATTAATCGATCTCTCAGTTGCACATGAAGTTGATCACCGAAATTACATTTGGCAGCTTGTTTCTGCAATTCAAGGATGAGTTCCCTAACCTTTTGGTCGTTCTCTCGAATCGTCTTATGAAATTTCGCTATTTCACGGCATTCAAAACTGGTGCACTTTACATGATTTAATATTAGTTCCTTAAGAGTTGCATAAGGAGGTGAGATAGGCATTTTTGGTTATACTAAGGTCTTTACTAAGCTGTATGCTTCCTTTCCGATGAATGTCGGGAAATGTTCCATAATTTTATCATCTTCAACATCTTTCTCGGCCATGCTCCAGATTTCAAACGTCTCTAAATAATCTTCAAAAGATTCAGAAGTTGAATGAATATCTAAATGTTAGATTTCTAGTGACTCACTTATATCACGAGAACACGATTGGTTTATTGAAAACAATTATTATTATAACCAATTGTACCAGTGACTGTTTTAATGTGCTTTTGTTTACCTGTGCTAAAAACATCCATTATTCTTACACGTTGATTGTGAACTCGAGCGGAATCGGTTACGTTCTGTAACCAAGATTGTATCCTGGCACGATCTCGGTATCATTTCGATACCACGAGATCGCCAGCAAATATATATCGACTTGGTCCACTGAATGCCTTCTGATATTTGGCTTCCGGGGGATTTTATGGATTTATTTGGCACGTGTTTCTCTGTAGCGTTGTTCATAGTCAATAGGGACTGGACGCCACGCTACAGATTGCAGACTCCATCGCGACACCACTATGATAATTCGAAGCATTTGAATTATAGTGAAAACTAAGAATCCAAGAAATAACGCAATTTAATCAAGAAGTGCTAGATAATCACGAAGGAATTTACTGTATTTGGAATTCGAAAACAAGCATTCAACAAGTACAAAGAAATCGTTAGTTCATAAGAACACCACACATTTGAACGGTGTTTGTTCTTTTCAAGGCATATTGTCAGCCATCGAGATGTGGCCGACAGTGCTTTTTTTGTAACCTAGGTAGCTAATGATACTTAAGAGGAAGTTGTTTGACCACGCCTGTTCTATTGTGACCTACACTAGGCGCCTTTTTAACCTATTCGATACATGCTGTGAGTTGTTCACGTGTGTCCGTAATTTTATGTTTGTAAGTTGGAAGTTATGCGTTCGGATTCCTAAAGTTGGGGTTGGGTGGCGTATGTTTTAAAATTTGTGTGTAGACATATCAACTGAACATAATTTAAGACTGAAACTTCCTTATCATATCTGTCCACTTGACACCCACTCCCTGAATCACGACATCCAATTATCACAATTAGAATTGTAGTAGTCCAGTCAACACTCTCAGTGAACTATTTAACGCGGGTAATTATTGGTAATAAGTTGTTGGTAATACTTTTGGATTCGTCTGTTCAGCTATTACACCTGGACGTATCCCTTTGTTCTTTAGATTCACTCAACCTTATTCTCATAGATCCTGAGACTAACTAGTCGACCTTTCAAGAATCCCACGTACACACTATCAGCAGATCTAATAAACGCATGTCAATTAGTTTTGTCGTAGTTTCAATATGATGCTGACTGTTCCGTGCATGGTCTATGTACCGCGAATCGATCTTGATGAGATGTTTCTGAGTACTGACTTAATGAACCCTCCCAGTTAATTTATTCGATCAAGACAGCTTTTTATTGTCACATTGTTTATTGGCTTTTCTGGCACTGAGTTACGGTAATTCAAAACTTGGGTATTCAGTATGGCAGATAGATATTCATTAGACTTAGTACTATTCATAGTATGACCATGATAAGAAAGACTTTGGAAAAGCCTACCTTAATAGGGTTATATACCAATGTAAGGGATTACGATTAGTATTTGGTTAGGAGCTAGGTATTTTATCAGGAATTTACATGATCTGTAATGGCAGAACACTATTTTACATATAGATAAATGGATGATGCATCAAAACTATGGACTTTCTGTTTTTGATTTTATTGGTTTTCCCATAAATTATATTCTCAACTTATCAAAAATAATGAGCCAATAACTAGTTCTCATAAGTTCTTTTGTGTCATCTTAGCCATTTTGTAGGATGAAGCCGATAATTGATTCCGAATCGGGAAAGTTGAACAAAAAAAGCAGCCCTCAGAATATCAAGCAAAAACTTTTCAGACAAGATGGCACAAACAAAAGTGACATAAAAGGATATATGCGTATGCATTCAAAGAAGAAACGGCAAAAGTACATTAATTCAACAGTCGAAGATAAAACGACTGAAACTGAACAAAATACTCTTTTGACATCTGGTCTCAAGGTGGACAGTCAGTCAGAGGAATCTGATCGCTTAAGATCAAAGAATAAAACTAGGAGGGAGAAAAATAAAAGTGTAACAAAGCGTTTACCCGAACATCCTGATTCTGTTATGAGCAGTAAAGGTATGGATTACGTAAGATAAACATAATATATAGTTGATAAATTTAAGAAACACATGTTAAGCTAAATACATTAAAACATTTGTTTAGGAAAGTGTAAGGTTCGGAACACTTATGATCAAATTATCTTGATCATGCTGATGGGACTTAGTCTTCTGAGCTTCATAACCACCAATCTGAGCTAAAAGTCTCCACCATCGCATTTTTATCATTTATGAAGTTAGAGTTACAGTTGTTTTCAAGACAAAATTAGATGTTAAGGTTGGTGATACAAATAGTGAAATGTCTAAATAAAGTTCTTCGCATTCGTTTTCTCTCATTGTTACAAATCTAAAAATTCATGTATTGGTGTGTAGTTTTAAATGAAAAAGTGAATAATCATCTGGTGTATTTAGTTAATGACGTTGCTTCTGGGAAAGGATTTCCAAGTCGTCAGTGCTACCATTGCTAGAAATGTGTTCATACATTACTTGGTAAAGTAATACGTGGAGGTTATTTGACAGTTAATTGTTTTTTCCTTATAGCAACTCCTATGTTCCAAAACTTAATGTAATGAATACATTTTCAAGGTGGTATAAGGTTTGGTCGGTAATTATATTTGGCACCATATGTCCAAATTCAGTTGATATTATTTTACTTGACGTCTTACTAAATATATATCAAAATGAATCACTTTATGCTATTTTAAACATAATTATTGATCGCTTTCACAGACCATTGTAGCGTAAGCAATCAGAATTGTCTATCTCTACTCATCACCAACCTACCCAAACATATAAATTATTCAATGCTCAAAGATGCCATACCATCGGCTGCACGCTTGCATCTGTTCAGGAAATCTGGAAAGCGTTTAGCGTTTGCCAATTTCTATACCATGGATGACTATTCAAATGCCATTAGTCGCTTGGAGGGACTTGAGTTTGACGGGATCAAGGTAAGATAATACCAGCCAAAAATTCCGGTTAGCAATAAATGTTTCTTAAGAGTTTTAGACCAAGTTACTTAGTTTCTAACATCATCGTATACAACAAAGGGTTTGGTTTTATAAGTTGAGTAGTCGTGATGACTAACATTAGTAATGGATCCCAATTCTAGTCTAATTCTTGTTTTCAAAACTACTTGACTACCTTTCTTGAGCCAGCTACCCCTCCTTAGACGTAGACCGCCGACCAAAATCTCCAAGTAACTTTGTTCTGGCCTCTCCTTCCTAGTTGTTGCCAATCAGTATTCATGGTCGTGATGCTTGCCTCTGATTGGTAGCGTTGGTCTGCTTTCTTTCGTTTTGGCTTAAGAATTCAAGTTAGTGTTTACATTGTGATACAGTATAGTGGCTTTTGCAAACTTTCTTTTGTTGACTTACAATATCTGTCTAATTTCTTCCTCAATTGGCACATACCTTTACTACTGATAGGATGAGTTTTTTATGACCATCTGTAGAACCTAGTGTAAGTGATTGTTTATGAATACTTGTACTTACTTGATGGTGATCTTGTCAGGGTTATTTTTACGTTAATGTGGAATGTTCTATGATCTTGGATGAGAGTTCGTTTGAGCTCCCGATATTCTTCAATTGTAGGAATGTTGCTCTTACCCAACTAACGCACACCTTGGGATCCGCATCAGACTATTGATTATTAGTGATACTACCGAGGTTCGTAAACGTTTCCAACTCTTCCAGAGCTTCGCCATGAAGTACGATTTGGTTGATTTTCCCTGTCATATTTTCGGTGATCTTGCTTCTTCCCTTGTGAATATATAGACCTGCTTCTACACTGCCTGTCTTCACCTGTATTTGCTCAGTGGTTGGTTTCTCTTTGCTCTTGATTATTCGATCTGGTTTCTTACACTTCTCGTTAACAAAGATCCATTCTAAAAGTGTTCTGCGCTCACAATTGGTACTATGCATACGCCTGCCAGTTCACGAGGACTGGCCATCGGGTCGCCAGATACGCGGAGGGTGTATCTCGTCAGATCCTCGGTTTGGCGAGGTGAGGTCAAGTAAATGACCACACTAGGATCCTGTCCCGACCGTTGTTGCTACCATGACGTGGTGGTTGGGCTTGCCTATCGTGATGAAGCAACCGAGCTATACTGGCTGGAACAACCGTTCCTCAAGGTCCTACCATGTCAGACAGGTCGGTTGAAGAGCGGTAAGACTAAAAGCAACAAACCTAAGGTCCGAAGGCGAAGTCGTACTGCTGACTGTACAGAGGTGTGACAGCAGTAAGGTGTTTCCTTCAGACAACCAGCATGACAGCGATGCTGCCTTCCCACAAGGAGGGGTGGGGTTAGAAAAAGTCGACCCTAAAAATGCACACCTCACCTTACCTCACGGATTTCCGTCTCCGGCGATAAGGCCCTTTGAAGAACGGAGCTAACATGTGAAAAACCTTCCACGGAAAGGCCGTGCGCGACCGGCCTCAAGCAGTTGTCCCTTGGGCACTGCGGTCACGCTCTCAGGTCGCCGAGACCGCCTCTAATCCAATTTCCTTTTCAGGTACCTCCAGAAGAACCCTTCCACGGTGTGGGCAACCGGGAAGTGATAACCGCCCTCATACCTCTAACAACACCCAAGACCACTGTATTCATAATCAACCTTCCTCTTCAATTCCTATTATTCCTCCTACATCGACTTTCAACCCTAAACTTCCTCCTTCGGCTTCTGCCTCAAGCATCACCATAGCCAACGATTCTAGTGCTCAAAACTCTGTCCCAGGTCTACTGAAACCTCGCTCCAAACTACACATTGGAGCTTTCAACGTACGCACTTTATGTCAAATCGGTCAGCAGGCTTCCTTGGCTAAAACCCTAGAGTCTCTTTCCATCGATGTATGCTGTGTCTCCGAAACACGCATACAGGATTCCAGTGTGGTCATTCACTTGACCTCACCTCGGCAAAACGGAGAGCCAACGAGATACACCCTACGTGTATCTGGTGACCCGATGGCCAGTTTTCGTGGACTGGCAGGTGTAGGCATAGCACTAAGCATGAGGGCGGAACAAGCACTGCTAGAGTGGATCCCCATCAACAGTCGTCTATGTGCTGTTCGGCTAAACGGCTACGTAAGAACTCGGAAGGATAGGGACACACGTCGTTGCCTTTTTGTCGTTTCTGCCTACGCTCCCACTGACTGCAGCTCCGATGAAGTGAAGGATGAATTTTACAGGAAGCTTTCTGAACTTCTTCAGAAAGCTAAACGCTCAGACATAGTACTCGTAGGGGGTGACTTCAATGCGCAGATAGGTAGCTTAAACCAAACAGAAAGGCATTTAGGTGGATATTTTAGCATTCCGGCACAGCGAACAGATAATGGTGATCGTCTGCTGCAACTGTGCTCAGACAATCGCTTATTTTTAGCAAACACAAATTTTAAGCATAAGGAGAGACATCGTCTAACATGGCGACCCCCTACACCAAACCAACGATGGACTCAAATAGACCATATTGCCATCAGTCATCGTTGGAGAGGGTCGGTAGAAGATTGTCGCTCATTCTGGAGTACCTGCTTGGACTCCGATCATGCCCTAATACGGGCACGCATCTGCTTGCGCCTCACCGGACGCAAAAAAGCCACATTAAAAAGACCAATTAGAACTGAATTGAGTAACGAGAAAACTAAAAATAGGTTCCAAGAACAACTGAGTTCACACTTAAGTAGTTCTGAACACGAGGCTGACCCAGATGTTGCTTGGAAAGACATACAAGCAGCTGTGGAAGCAGCAGTGACATCTATTAGCGACTTAAACCACAGAGTTTCAAAGAACCAGTGGATTTCTTCAAAGTCTATCACACTGATGGATTCTCGCAAATTCGTCCCATCAGGTTCCGAACATGATGAAGAGCGACAACAAATCAGATCTAGGTTAAGAAAAAGTTTAAGAAACGACCGTGAGCAGTGGTGGGCAACGAAAGCAAAAGAGATGGAAAAGGCGGCGACTATAGGGAACACAAGACAACTTTACAGACTAATAAAAGAAACTGGAATTAATAAGTCAAGTGTAAGTGAGATTATATCGGAAAAAGACGATACTCTCATCTGCTCTCAGTCCAGACGTTTAGAACGATGGGCGGAACACTTTAGGGAACAGTTCAGCTGGCCTTCAGCGACTCTACAACTACCCTCCATTCCCAGACAGCGTGAATGGAACATTGAAGTAGGTCCCCCAACTCTTGCTGAAGTTCAAAAGGCTATAGATAATCTGAAACGAGGAAGGGCAGCTGGACCAGATGGACTGGTTCCAGAAGTCTTTAAAGATGGTGGTCCAATTTTAGTGATTAGGTTGACTAATATTTTAGCTAAGATCTGGGAGTTAGACGTTATTCCATCTGACTGGTTACAATCACTTATCGTCCCAATATATAAGAAAGGGTCAAAATCATCCTGTGACAACCACAGAGGGATTAGTTTAACTAATATAATATCTAAAATACTAGCCTCGATAATTATCAGACGCCTAACTAAGACTCGTGAACTGCAAACACGAGAAAACCAAGCTGGTTTCAGACCTGGTCGTGGCTGCATCGACCACATATTCACCATTCGTCAGGTTCTAGAACACAGGCACACTTATCGGCGTCCGACGATGGTGGTCTTTCTTGACTTAAAAGCAGCATTTGACTCGGTAGACCGCGAGGTTCTGTGGCAGTGTCTGTCATTGAAAGGCGTACCTCAGAAGTACATAAACCTTGTGAAGGCTCTTTACTCGAACACTACTAGTCGAGTGAGAGCTTATGGCGAACTGTCATCTACTTTTGCAACCTCAAGTGGTGTCCGTCAAGGATGTCCACTTTCCCCATTTTTGTTTAACTTCATCATAGACCTACTGATGGAAATAACTTTCTCGTCGAATGAGTTCTCGGGTATTGATCTCTTTCCAGGAGGTCCACTTATCGACTTAGAATACGCAGATGACATAGTCCTGTTTGGTGAAGACGCTGACAAAATGCAAAGTCTTCTGGTAGCACTGAGCAACAATGCCAGAATGTTTGGAATGCGCTTCTCTCCCTCGAAATGCAAGTTGTTGCTTCAGGACTGGTCTGCGTTAACACCTGAACTAAGGATAGGGAGTGAAGTAGTCGAACGCGTTGACAACTTCACTTATCTTGGAAGTCTGATCAGCCCTAATGGGTTGGTATCGGACGAAATCTCAGCACGGATTCGAAAAGCTCGTTTGGCTTTTGCCAACTTACGTCACCTGTGGCGAAGGCGAGATATCCGTCTATCAATAAAAGGACGAGTATACTGCGCGGCAGTCCGTTCTGTTTTACTTTACGGTAGCGAAACATGGCCATTAAGAGTAGAAGACACTCGCAAGCTGCTAGTATTTGACCACAGATGCCTTAGAAGTATTGCTGGCGTCTGCTGGGATAATCGGGTAAGTAATAGTGAGGTTAGACGCAGGGTATTAGGAAAGGATGGTAAATCAGTTGATGAGGTTATGAATCTTCATCGACTGAGATGGTTGGGCCACGTGTTACGTATGCCTGAACACCGATTACCACGACGTGCAATGCTAACCGGTGTAGGGTATGGTTGGAAGAAAGTTAGGGGCGGCCAAACCAAAACGTGGCATCAGTGCTTGAAGTCACTAACTTCTAGTCTGAGCCATGTTGGTAGATGCAGACTACTTGGTTGGGGTCCGCGTGACTATCGTAACCAATGGTTGGAGACTCTTGATGACATGGCTCAGAATCGATCACAATGGCGTAGGTGTATACACTCGGTTTCTTCCCCTATACTAAGAGATTAAAAGCGCTTCATATCTTTCTTTCTACTAACCAATTCTTTCTTCTTGTACTATATCTCTATACCTAACCACTGTTATGAATCCGGTGTTCATCTTGTTGTGCTGATGCGGTATGGCAACCTGGACCGATGCACATAAGTGCATGGTTCTACGTTGTAGCTGACTGACTGACTGACTAGGATCCTGTATGCGTGTTCCCTCGCGAATATTGTTAGATGTTTTCCTGGATATTTCTTTAGGATAGACTGTATTCTCTGGTAGGACAGGTTTTCATCATCTTTACTGACATCATTGATGGGTGTGTACCAGTGGGCAATATTCATTGCAATGTTTTCTTTTTTTGCTTTGGAGTATGTTTCGATAATTCTGTCGCCTTAGGCCTCCCATCTTATAGGCAGTTTTCGTGTTTTTCTGGACAGCATCAGTGCAACTCGTGTATGTGTGGCGCTTTCTTCCTTATGACGAGAATACAAGAGTTCTCCTGAAATGAAATGCTTTCTGTCCAGATTGTGTACATGTAGTTTTACTTATTTCACGCAGGTCTGGCTTGTGTATTGTCGTTTCTGTGACTTTAAATGATCCGGTTTTTCGCGCAATCTGGACATCCCAAACCATTTATTTGTGCTTCTCTGGTCGACGGAAGTGGCGTTGCACTTGTGTCTAGTTGTTCAGCAAATATGTACTACTATCCCAGTCAGTCAGTAACAACGTAGAACTTAGTACGTACGTACATCAGTTCGAGTTGCCATACCACATTAGCACAGGGATGCAGTGGTCGATTCAAATCCCGTAGTGCTAGATGTAGTAAAATTATAAGCTTTAATCAGAAAAATTAGGGTTTGAAGATGTTATTCAAGGAGTATAATCCAGTGAAATAAATTTGGAAAGAGGAAAAAAGGGACATGAAGAATTCAGATAATTAGAATTTTGGAGAACAAAAAGAGTGGATGCACCTGCGCCATTGCAAACGATTTTGAGCCATGTCATTCAGGGTCTCTAACCATCGATTGCTATCATCTCGCGGTCCCCAACCAGGTATTCTACACCTACCAACATGACTCAGTCCACTTGTCAGTGACTTCATGGATTTGTGCCATGTTTTGGTCTGGCCGCCCCTAGCTTTCTTCCAACCTACTCCTATACCACTGAATATAGCACGTCGAGGTAGTCGGTGGTTGGGCATACGTAACACGTGTCCCAGCCATCTCAACTGATGAAGTTTCACTACACTACTACTATAATCTGATTTTAATGAGTTTATTGATTAAGAATCAAATAAATTCTACACTTCATTTAAAAAATATCCCCGTATGAAAAGTAAGAATGGCAAATCAGATCTTCCTATTGAGTTTACTGTTTTTACTTTGAACCAAAGTTCTTTATGGTCATCACGTTAATGTGAAACAATACTTAATTATTTGAAGATATGCTGTACTACCAATTGTGTCTCACGAAAATGTAAAATTCATCTTGTTGGGTGTTTGAGTCACGACCTTTAGGCTAGGTTATTTTTTTAACGAATGCCTAACTGTATGGTAACGCGTCTACATATACGAAGACGAAAAACATGAATAAGGAAACAGTATGAGATGCCTTTGGAATCACAGTCTGGAAAAGTTTACAACTCTGATATTCAATGGCAAGATGTTAAAAGAGCTCAGCGACCACCAGTTAAATCATTGCGTTTAAACAGATATTTCGTTTAAAAATCCCCATATTAAAATACTAATATATGAACGATGATTATTCTTTCCAGTAAATTCTCTTTGGGTTCTGCTGTAATTTTTATTTGTTTTATGAACAATCTTAAATTCACATGCTATGGTTTTATATGATGTACTTCTCTTAAACGTAGTCATTCTTTGGATTATTAATTTGAATGTGGAACTCAAAAAAATTTATTGGAATATAATACTCCGTTCATATATTAGTGCTTTAATTATCCCTTTTTTCGTCTCACTTTAAACAGTTGGCCTTCACCACATAAAGCCTAAGCTACGATGTGTATAACTTGACCGATTCAAGGACTATTCTGCAATGTTTTAAAGTAGCATCATAAGTTGTATCCTGTTAGTGCTACATTTAGATTGTCTACATGGTTCTCTCATGTATAAAATTTTACCGTCTCAAAACCCCCTGAGAAAACTTCCCGTCTACAGAGATAATATGCGGAAACATTCTCGTTGTGATACAATAGTGAACAGGACTTTGTTAACTTGAGTTACTTTTTTCATTTTGTGTCGCCAATTATTTCGGAAAGAAAACACATCAAATCACTAATCGGTTTGTAGATTACGTGTATTCAACAATCAACGACCACTTATTTTGTGCTACAATTACTTCGTACATCAATACGCAAACACTTGAAAGAGGATATTACCAAGTAGTTTTATTTCCACATAGTTTTATGTTTTGTTTTAACTGTTATATTCTTTTACCGATTTGTTTATTATGAAAGCCATTGTTTAGGCAAGTTACACGCCATGAAAAAACTGAAAAGGAAAAACCTGAGAGTGGTGAATTGAGATTGACTATTCATAATTTACCATACTCTATAACTACGACTGAGTTAGAAGATGAATTCCCTACAGCCAAATCAATCATAATAAATACGAAGAAAACTGGAGTTAATAAAGGGTAAGATTTAGATGTTATTGTTTATAATTTACGTTTTCCATGTTGATACTCAGATGACAATTCTAATTTATATTGACGCTAAATTGGGACAGTTAAAAATCTAGTGATTCATAATTGTATTAGTTCAGAATAAATATAACAGCGCTCTATATATCGTGGAAATTTCTTTAAAACTGTGTTGTATGTTTCTGTGTGCACATTTTGGTTACTCATCTTATTTTGATTTCAGTAGTTAAAATGAAGTGAAATGCAAAACATCAAAGTCATAACAGTTGTCGCAGATGATGGTAGATTACGTCTACTAGTAAAACAAATATTAGCAGGTTATAGTCGATTAAAAGATTTGTCTAAGATAAACTAGCTGGTAGTACTTTTAGTTAAGACTACTGGCACAATAAATACAATTTTTGTAATGCAGATCAATGACTATCTCCGAAACTTCGATTACTGTTCTGGTGAACCAACTTTGACTGCTTATTTCAAACACTTAAAATAATTATAATATAACGAAAGTCGAACGAAACTTCAAACTTGAATAAAGTGACTCCAAATTTCCTACTTTGCATTCGAGACGCAAATTTATTTTTTGGTATTAAAATAAGTTTTGTTTCGGCTAAGTCAGTTTATGAAATCGTGAGACTGGGAAATAGTTTATATCCATTCTTTCGACAGAATAACATTCGAGCACTCTAATCCCCGATATTTTGGAAAATCTCAATCAGTTTCATAACCAAAAGGTCATTTGGCCACCATCCCTAGAAATAGTTGGAAATAAGTCATCTTGACCTAGTGATTTGCGGAGCTTCGAAGGTTGGAGCTCCCTGTGGACTTCCGTCTTGCTAGGTGTGTCAGTCGACACTGGCCAGGAAGGATATGATAATCTGGTTGATGTTACCGGCGCAGCAGACTAGCTGAACTGCCCATCGTCCAAAACGTCGGTAAGTGTTATTAATTGGCGTGACATCACAGATTTTATGCACAAACCTATTCAATGCTGGGTAGACTTCCAATTTAATCCTCTTTTTTAAATGATATTTACCTGATTTATTCACTGGCGTAAATATTGTCACTGAAGAATTGGATAAAAATATTTCAGTGCTCACTATGATGCTGCAAGTAAGTAATCCAAAATCTTTAGGTTTTTTCGATTTTTTCACCTGGTATTCAAATTTCAGTTTATTTCTAATGGTATTTTTATTTTTTTGACTGGTTTATTAGATCCTGTTTACTTGAGTTTGAATGTCATGATGATCTTCAAGTTGTTCTGGATGCTTGTCAAAATAAAGTGATCGGTGGTCGCCGTGTATCTGCCTTGCCCGGTCTTCATTTTGAAATTAAATCCGAAAACACTAAAGCAAATACTAAAGAAGCCACTACATTTGGCATAAAAATATGCAAACTGTCTACATCAATAGAAGATGATCGACTTCGACAGCAGTTTCCATTGGGATCCATAATTGAATATTGTTCAGTGCCTACTAGTAATCCATCATGCAGGTAATACACATTTGTTCATCTTTGCGCCAATTTCTATACACATGCGTAATCTTTATATTTATATGCAGCTGAATCTCTTGTTCCAATGCATTGTTCTTTTTCAAATTTTATGTATATCACCATCCTTCATTTTTAGCAAATGTCTCTTTTTTTCTTCAGAAATGTATTTCTCACTCTCAAGAACAATATATCTAATCAACTAATTGTTAAAAAACTTCGTAGAAAAGGTATCGACCAACATCGCCTGCGCATACAATTATGGTGTAAGTGTTGCTGTATTCATGAATAAATAATATGATGCTAGTAATCGCGTATAAGTATATACCTGCTATGTAAAGTATAATGACTTTATTAGAATGTATAAATCTTGACTAATGAGATGAGGTCCTGACCTGGGCACATTTTATTGTTTAAACCAATCCATCACATCAAGTTTCATGGAGCAACTTTTAAGTTAAAGAAGGATCTTAACTTTTGGAAGTTTGTTGTGAACTCCAAACATCGTACATTAAGTAGTATAGATTAGGATAATAACCTAGTAATATTAATGACCAGTACTCGTTATATGTATACCATACATTTTGTTTTCCTCAACTTATTGTTTGAAAATCAGAATTGATCAGAAATCTGTGGCAATAAGAAAGTTTCTAATGTTACTCACAATAAAATATTCAACCTATTCACTGTACTGGTGTATATTTTGAAATGACGAACAAAATTATCGAGTTACCAGTTGTTTAATGGCAATTATTGTTCTTCACATGCCATCTTGTTTGAAATAACAGGTTCCATTCATTTTTGATTGCTTTCAACCAGTTGACCAACAAAACTTTTGTATTTAGTTGTTTTTTATTGGAATTATGGTGTTTGATTAAGTAATTATTAGCTCAGTCACTTCAGTCAGCCAGTTATCTATTTTTTTGATTAATCTGTTGTTTCATAATTTGCTACGTATATTTATACGTACAATTTGTCACTTCATTATCCTATGTATATATATTTACCAGTAAATTACAAATAATTACTTGATTTTTATGCTTCACTTTATTTCTATGTTCAGATAAAAAGAACTTCAAATCTCAAAAAATTGAGCTAAAGCCACCAACTGACGGTAAGCTTTATGTTTACAGACTAGTAGTGAAGTATTTCTTTTGAAAGTATGTTTCTGTTCATGCTTGTATTAATTTTGTTAAGTGATCAACGTTCAGTATTTCCAGCACTTAGTTTACATTAACATAAAGCTTGCTAGATACTCACAACATTCTATATATTTGCACTTAGTATATATCGCGAAAGGATAATAACAGAAAATCCACGTCAAGTCAAAAGAGAAAAGCATTAAGTATCTTTTTTCTAATAGTCATGAATAATTCTGCCTATCTGCATTTCTTTAAATTCACCTAATTAAAAAAACAACCATTTACGTATATTTTGTGTAAATTAAAGGAGCTTCTAATTATACAACGCTAAATGTTGATTTTGATATTTACGAAGCATTAATTGAACTAGCATTCTCTGTATGTTTTGTTTAGTAGATAACAAAAACAAAATTGATGAACTGAAATTAAAGACGAGTGGTTCAGCTGAAAATGTTGAAATGACATTTTCAGAATCAGGTAAGGAAAAACTTTTCTTCTCCCTTGAGTGTTTTGTAGTGAGACATTGGATAACTTTTCATCGTATGTGCATCTGTGTTGAGAGAATTTCCAACTTAAAGTGATAATGTGGTTACCTAGCTTGTTGGTTAAATCGTACTTACCTATAGCTGTTAGTTCAATTTGTTTAGCTTGAATGGGGACTTGTAGAATTTTCTTACCGCTATTAAACTCACATTTGTATTCTAAAGTGACTGTATTCTTTGATTTTTGTTAGTATTTAGTGTGTTAATCCCAACACACTTCTTTTCTTGTGTTAAATATCACTTAACTTATTTTAATGTTGTACTTATGTGAATACCATTGATGAAACACCTAATGTAGGTGTATCCTTCTGATAACAACTGATATTAATTGAATTAAAAACCGTTAATCTATATTTTCAAGTCTCAATAATTTGGTGGCAATCCGTTGCAGGATATTGAGAGAAAGAACAAGATTAAAGTTTTTTAAACACTGCTAGAATGATGACTGCTTTCCTCGTCATATTATTAAAACTGTACGTGCATGTAAAATACCTCGTTTATTAAAAAAATCTGCGACTTATCACAAAATCCCTAATTAAATGCACCAAGGAACTTATCTTTATACTCAAAACAGAATCCCTTGGTTTTGACAAAATTGTTATGGATTGTATGTCGAATCAAAATCATGAAGACATTAACCGAAACAGTTGTAAAAGAACAAGAGCACGACGTCTTTCCTACTAATCCAGGAAATTACATATAGAATTTATCGAGTAAAAAACAGTCGAACTAAAATGGAAGAGCTTTCCCTTAGATTTCAATTTCATATTCTGAAAATATTTATCAGAATCGACACCGAAATGCAAGTCGAGTAATTATATCAACAGTTGTCAGGCATAAAACCCATGAATGATGTAAAACAAAGTTGGTTGAAATCAAAATTAATGGATATTACAGATCAGTGAGTTACGACACCAGTCCAACAATCTAAGGTGTTGACTTTAGATCATCAGAAAGCATTGAAAAAAGGTTATGAAAGAAAAAACAATATTGCTACTTCGTCCAGATAAGGGTTCCGGTGTAGGCACCCTAAACAGAGACAAATACATTAGCAAGGTAATGTCCATTGTGGATGATTCCACGAGATTTATTGTCGAAAGGTTTAACAGATGCGACTGAGAAGCGTCTTTTAAAAAAGTTGAGAGAATTCTTGAAGAAAAATCCATTCGATAATCATACGTACAATGAACTCAAACTGAAAGAATCGCAATTGTCTTACTTATACGGCCTACCTAAAATACAAAAATCTAACATCCTGATGAGACTAGTATTATATATGACCAAATCGTCTTTCCATAGACTCGCCCGCTGACTAAATATGTGCTTAGAACCAATCCTCAGGAAACTATCACCCTACAGTCTGAAGGATAGTTCCAAATTTGTACAAAAACTTGACAGCTTAAATGCTTCCGATAAATTCATGGTCTCGTTTGCTGTCTCATCACTCTTCACAACGATCCCTTTGGAAGAAACGGCAGATATCATATGTGAATATCCTGAACTCCTGCCTTTACCAATCCACGAATTCAAACAACTCCCGTTACAGAAACATACAATTTCAATTTAACAGTGTGTTTTACCGCTAAATTGATATAGTAGCCCTCTGAGTCCAACTCTGGTCGATATATTTATGGGAAACCTGAAGCAGAGGAGGCTCAAGCACGCAATCGATGGGACTACACTACTGTAGATATGTTGATGACACATTACTCGTCTGTAGCAATCATATGCATTCTATGAACCTACTCAATCTGTTTGAGAAAGCACACAAGGATATAGATCTTATTATGGAACACGAAGTAGAAGGTAAATTTCATTTCTTAGATAATGGAATCAGACGAATCTCAAATGGCACATTACAAAGACACATTCACCTCAAAAATATCTGGAGTGGAATCTATCTGAATTACAACATTTTCTGTCCAATGAATTACATAAAGGGTATTGTACGAACCCTTTTTAACTGTGCACGCAAAATTTGCTCAACGGAATGCCTGGAAGATGAAATTTCTCTCAGTACAAATTACTTACGTGAAAATGCATATCCCGTAAAGTTCATTGAAAAGTATGCCAAAACCAACCTTCGGGTTAAACACGATACAGTTGAGAGAAAAACTGCTTCTTATACTTACTTCAGAGGAGATGAAATCATCTATGTCAATAGTTTCACATTATATCTTACCTCAATGTAAAATTTCAATACATATTTAGTTGTAAGGAGCTGATGAGAAACCACAAAATATAATGAATTCATATTATTGTCCATCCATGTTTGTTCTGGCTTTATTTAACTTCATAAAGGAAACTAATTGCATGAAATTAATCTATCTATCATTGACGGTAGTAATGGTTAGAGTTATAAAAATTACCACTTGACACCAGTTCCTGTTTAACTCCACATTGCAATTTTCAGTGTAAAAATGAACTTTTCTAGCGTTGTTGTTCTGATTTTTGACAGACAGTGATGTTTTAGAAAAAGGCTTGACTTTTTCCTTTCGAAACATTTAACACACTTATGTATGATGTCCCACCTTGAATGTTCAGACATCACAGTACATGTTTATCATAAAAGAATTTGTTAAATCTATTCATGTATGTTTATATACTAATCCTATATCCTTAAATTTCTTATTAATTAATACCGAAAGAAGTTCACATTTCAGCCAAAACGTTCTAGGCTTTCATCAGCTTCTCTGATGTTTTTTTAGTAAAAGATGATTTTTGACACACTTCTTTACCGAATCAATGTTGCAACGATAATGTATTATGCTTGATTGTGTCTATTCTTATTGTACTTTGTTCACTAGATAAAAAGAATAAATCAAAAAAACAGAAACTTGAAAAAATGGATGTCTTTTTGGAGAATACTAAACTTGTGGCTTCAGACTCAGGTGAATACTGCTTATTTGCATTCTTTTGTATACTTTAAGAATCGTAACGACCAACTATCTACTCATCTTATTTCATTAGAGAAGATTTACATTTAGCAGTAAAACAATGTAAGGGATTGCTACAACAAATAGAGGACTTACGTAACAGTTAGACATATTGACGTAAAATTTTGCATTGAAGTACATCCACTCAACTTATCATGCACCGAAATCGAATGAATATTAAACAAACCAAAGAGAACTGAAACAAGTGATTCAAGAAAACAATATAAGTGCTACAAATTTCAAGGGTCAAATGGGGTAGTGAATAACTTTGTGTTATTGTAATCAACTCATGTATCAAACCATTGATTTTCTTAATGATATGCAATCTGGAAATTAAACCTCCCAAATGATTCAAATTGTGGGCTTTTCATTTTATGAACTAATGGTGTAATTTAGTACGACATCTTTGATTCCAACTTTTACTGTGACCACCCCATAGTATCCAGTAAATTGGCTTCACGCATGTGGTGCACGATCCTATCACTTCACTTGACATGGACCAACAAACTTATCGTTTAACTTGTCACTGCTACTCAGACTGGTCCTAATGATTTACTTGAAAGTAAAACACTGTATTGATTTATATCGAGTTGATCACTGAAAATAATTTTACTTCTTTTTCATCTATCTAGCCAATAAAAAGCACAAATTGAAAAAACGGAAATATGAGTGCGTAGACGTAAATATGATCGATTCGCATTCGTGTAAGTAAAGTCCAATGTTGAAATGGTCGTACTTTGCATTTAATGTAGTTGCTTTTTATCCTATGTTTCTTGTAAGTACTCACATGAACGAAACAAATACAACAACATGACAGTTTTCACTTATGTATCCACAATGTTTTTATTTTAGCGAACACTCCACAGTTTCATAAGAAAAAGGAGTTCAAAACCAAAGAAAGGAGTCACATCGGTGACAATCCAAAACACATAGTATTCGATCAAGGTAGGTACACATAGTTTGCTTAATGTGTTAAATTACCTGCTTGCAAAATTGAATTTGATTTTTATCTGTATCAATATGTGCGCTTAAAAGATAATCATTTTTGTTCTGTAAATGAACTGTTATCACATTGTCTCTAACAGTATTTCGTGTAAAATTAGAATTGTTTGTGTTGATAATGATAATATTATTGAGGAATATGCTGATATAACTTGATTAAGAAGCTGTGAGAACTACTGCACGGAAACTAGTTTTGCTTATCATTTGACAATATGAATGAAACTTTACAACAAGCTTCTAAAGTCCCATCAAGCTAGTAAAAAAGATATATCGAAGGTAAATCAAGCAAATATAGGATGCCCTTTATATATTACTTTCATAACGTATAGGTTTCTTACTTTGAGACTATTCCTCAGTTAGTCAGTGTACATTATGGTCGTAGTTCATTCATACTGGCCCTATTAGTTGTCTACTATAGCTCATTCATCGCAGTAAATTAAATAGCATTAATTCAACTACAGTTATATCTACTGTTTTTGAAATAATATGTTTACTATTTAGTTGAACCCTAGCCACAATACAACGAAAAAAGACCCACTTTTCTTCATTAGATTTTAGTACATAAGCACTCTTTATTACACTTTACTCTAGCGAGATTGTTCTACTTAAATTTAGAATCCGATTGGACCGATCAAAAGTTGTTAAAGTAGTAATTTGAAAAATGATTTCCTGGAAGATATATATTCCATTTACAAAGCCTCTATACTTAAGTGATTGCGATTGCGTAATGCCTTGTACTCAGCCGACATTTTACGTAGTTATATCGAATTCGGTTTGTCAGTGGTAGACACTTTTCATTTTTGTACTTTACTGGACAGTACCCTCGGAATGATCTACTATCAGCTTAGTGAATAGTGTTCACCTTAGTTGAAAATGATTAAAATTCTTTCTACACATTTCAAACTATTTCGTATATTGATGTTAGCGCTTACTCTCGTTACATTTTTTGTTACAATCAGTGATTATACTGACCATATGAAAAACAAAATTTATTTATACCGACTTCTCCAGACCATAAAAACATGATTTACTTAGCCGCATAGTTGCAATTATCGTTAAAACGAATTGTTTCAATGATAAACAACATGAAGCCTGACACAATTTTCTGTCGGACCCATTTGGTACACACATCTGAACAGTGAAAGAGAGAAGACGAACAAGTTAAGCTTGGAAGAATCGTGTTGATAATAGGAATTGAGTTTATAAAAGAACGAATGACAATGCGGATAGAAAAGCTAATAATGTGTACATCTACACTAATTCAACCTATTTCGAGCCACGAATTAATTGCAGTTTTTTGTTTCCTTCTGAGCAATTTTAGGTATGTTTGTGTGTAAATTTAAAATTCTTGGGGAAAGTCTATATTGTTTCGCGAATTCAATTTTAGAATCAATGAATCTTGCATTCTTGACAACTGATGTTCAAGAGAAATTCAGTATTCTTCATACATGCACACACCCACAAGGTATTGAAGTTAACCCTAAAAAACATCGACTTAGTTTCGAGAAACCCAAAGGTATATTTCAACAAGCGACCCCTTAAGGACTAGATGCTCCAATGATGAAAATTTTCCGTTCTTATGCCCCCCTCCTAATGCCACTTTTACGGTCCATAACGCACGATAGTAATCTTACAAATCACCAATGATTTTAATACTGTTATTTACTTCGATTTCAGCTATATCTAAGCAATTATTTGGTAAATTGTGTTTAAATTATAATTGTTTTTACGTTTTCTGATCTTTCTAGATGGCTAATATATTTGTCATTGCAAGGGAAAGGAGTTAAAATGTATTGATATTGTTACAAAATTACACAATATTAAATGTTGATTGTGATATTTACGAAGCATTAATTGAACTAGCATTCTCTGTATGTTTTGTTTAGTAGATAACAAAAACAAAATTGATGAACCGAAATTAAAGACGAGTGGTTCAGCTGAAAATGTTGAAATGACATTTTCAGAATCAGGTAAGGAAAAACTTTTCTTCTCCCTTGAGTGTTTTGTAGTGAGACATTGGATAACTTTTCATCGTATGTGCATCTGTGTTGAGAGAATTTCCAACTTAAAGTGATAATGTGGTTACCTAGCTTGTTGGTTAAATCGTACTTACCTATAGCTGTTAGTTCAATTTGTTTAGCTTGAATGGGGACTTGTAGAATTTTCTTACCGCTATTAAACTCACATTTGTATTCTAAAGTGACTGTATTCTTTGATTTTTGTTAGTATTTAGTGTGTTAATCCCAACACACTTCTTTTCTTGTGTTAAATATCACTTAACTTATTTTAATGTTGTACTTATGTGAATACCATTGATGAAACACCTAATGTAGGTGTATCCTTCTGATAACAACTGATATTAATTGAATTAAAAACCGTTAATCTATATTTTCAAGTCTCAATAATTTGGTGGCAATCCGTTGCAGGATATTGAGAGAAAGAACAAGATTAAAGTTTTTTAAACACTGCTAGAATGATGACTGCTTTCCTCGTCATATTATTAAAACTGTACGTGCATGTAAAATACCTCGTTTATTAAAAAAATCTGCGACTTATCACAAAATCCCTAATTAAATGCACCAAGGAACTTATCTTTATACTCAAAACAGAATCCCTTGGTTTTGACAAAATTGTTATGGATTGTATGTCGAATCAAAATCATGAAGACATTAACCGAAACAGTTGTAAAAGAACAAGAGCACGACGTCTTTCCTACTAATCCAGGAAATTACATATAGAATTTATCGAGTAAAAAACAGTCGAACTAAAATGGAAGAGCTTTCCCTTAGATTTCAATTTCATATTCTGAAAATATTTATCAGAATCGACACCGAAATGCAAGTCGAGTAATTATATCAACAGTTGTCAGGCATAAAACCCATGAATGATGTAAAACAAAGTTGGTTGAAATCAAAATTAATGGATATTACAGATCAGTGAGTTACGACACCAGTCCAACAATCTAAGGTGTTGACTTTAGATCATCAGAAAGCATTGAAAAAAGGTTATGAAAGAAAAAACAATATTGCTACTTCGTCCAGATAAGGGTTCCGGTGTAGGCACCCTAAACAGAGACAAATACATTAGCAAGGTAATGTCCATTGTGGATGATTCCACGAGATTTATTGTCGAAAGGTTTAACAGATGCGACTGAGAAGCGTCTTTTAAAAAAGTTGAGAGAATTCTTGAAGAAAAATCCATTCGATAATCATACGTACAATGAACTCAAACTGAAAGAATCGCAATTGTCTTACTTATACGGCCTACCTAAAATACAAAAATCTAACATCCTGATGAGACTAGTATTATATATGACCAAATCGTCTTTCCATAGACTCGCCCGCTGACTAAATAGGTGCTTAGAACCAATCCTCAGGAAACTATCACCCTACAGTCTGAAGGATAGTTCCAAATTTGTACAAAAACTTGACAGCTTAAATGCTTCCGATAAATTCATGGTCTCGTTTGCTGTCTCATCACTCTTCACAACGATCCCTTTGGAAGAAACGGCAGATATCATATGTGAATATCCTGAACTCCTGCCTTTACCAATCCACGAATTCAAACAACTCCCGTTACAGAAACATACAATTTCAATTTAACAGTGTGTTTTACCGCTAAATTGATATAGTAGCCCTCTGAGTCCAACTCTGGTCGATATATTTATGGGAAACCTGAAGCAGAGGAGGCTCAAGCACGCAATCGATGGGACTACACTACTGTAGATATGTTGATGACACATTACTCGTCTGTAGCAATCATATGCATTCTATGAACCTACTCAATCTGTTTGAGAAAGCACACAAGGATATAGATCTTATTATGGAACACGAAGTAGAAGGTAAATTTCATTTCTTAGATAATGGAATCAGACGAATCTCGAATGGCACATTACAAAGACACATTCACCTCAAAAATATCTGGAGTGGAATCTATCTGAATTACAACATTTTCTGTCCAATGAATTACATAAAGGGTATTGTACGAACCCTTTTTAACTGTGCGCGCAAAATTTGCTCAACGGAATGCCTGGAAGATGAAATTTCTCTCAGTACAAATTACTTACGTGAAAATGCATATCCCGTAAAGTTCATTGAAAAGTATGCCAAAACCAACCTTCGGGTTAAACACGATACAGTTGAGAGAAAAACTGCTTCTTATACTTACTTCAGAGGAGATGAAATCATCTATGTCAATAGTTTCACATTATATCTTACCTCAATGTAAAATTTCAATACATATTTAGTTGTAAGGAGCTGATGAGAAACCACAAAATATAATGAATTCATATTATTGTCCATCCATGTTTGTTCTGGCTTTATTTAACTTCATAAAGGAAACTAATTGCATGAAATTAATCTATCTATCATTGACGGTAGTAATGGTTAGAGTTATAAAAATTACCACTTGACACCAGTTCCTGTTTAACTCCACATTGCAATTTTCAGTGTAAAAATGAACTTTTCTAGCGTTGTTGTTCTGATTTTTGACAGACAGTGATGTTTTAGAAAAAGGCTTGACTTTTTCCTTTCGAAACATTTAACACACTTATGTATGATGTCCCACCTTGAATGTTCAGACATCACAGTACATGTTTATCATAAAAGAATTTGTTAAATCTATTCATGTATGTTTATATACTAATCCTATATCCTTAAATTTCTTATTAATTAATACCGAAAGAAGTTCACATTTCAGCCAAAACGTTCTAGGCTTTCATCAGCTTCTCTGATGTTTTTTTAGTAAAAGATGATTTTTGACACACTTCTTTACCGAATCAATGTTGCAACGATAATGTATTATGCTTGATTGTGTCTATTCTTATTGTACTTTGTTCACTAGATAAAAAGAATAAATCAAAAAAACAGAAACTTGAAAAAATGGATGTCTTTTTGGAGAATACTAAACTTGTGGCTTCAGACTCAGGTGAATACTGCTTATTTGCATTCTTTTGTATACTTTAAGAATCGTAACGACCAACTATCTACTCATCTTATTTCATTAGAGAAGATTTACATTTAGCAGTAAAACAATGTAAGGGATTGCTACAACAAATAGAGGACTTACGTAACAGTTAGACATATTGACGTAAAATTTTGCATTGAAGTACATCCACTCAACTTATCATGCACCGAAATCGAATGAATATTAAACAAACCAAAGAGAACTGAAACAAGTGATTCAAGAAAACAATATAAGTGCTACAAATTTCAAGGGTCAAATGGGGTAGTGAATAACTTTGTGTTATTGTAATCAACTCATGTATCAAACCATTGATTTTCTTAATGATATGCAATCTGGAAATTAAACCTCCCAAATGATTCAAATTGTGGGCTTTTCATTTTATGAACTAATGGTGTAATTTAGTACGACATCTTTGATTCCAACTTTTACTGTGACCACCCCATAGTATCCAGTAAATTGGCTTCACGCATGTGGTGCACGATCCTATCACTTCACTTGACATGGACCAACAAACTTATCGTTTAACTTGTCACTGCTACTCAGACTGGTCCTAATGATTTACTTGAAAGTAGAACACTGTATTGATTTATATCGAGTTGATCACTGAAAATAATTTTACTTCTTTTTCATCTATCTAGCCAATAAAAAGCACAAATTGAAAAAACGGAAATATGAGTGCGTAGACGTAAATATGATCGATTCGCATTCGTGTAAGTAAAGTCCAATGTTGAAATGGTCGTACTTTGCATTTAATGTAGTTGCTTTTTATCCTATGTTTCTTGTAAGTACTCACATGAACGAAACAAATACAACAACATGACAGTTTTCACTTATGTATCCACAATGTTTTTATTTTAGCGAACACTCCACAGTTTCATAAGAAAAAGGAGTTCAAAACCAAAGAAAGGAGTCACATCGGTGACAATCCAAAACACATAGTATTCGATCAAGGTAGGTACACATAGTTTGCTTAATGTGTTAAATTACCTGCTTGCAAAATTGAATTTGATTTTTATCTGTATCAATATGTGCGCTTAAAAGATAATCATTTTTGTTCTGTAAATGAACTGTTATCACATTGTCTCTAACAGTATTTCGTGTAAAATTAGAATTGTTTGTGTTGATAATGATAATATTATTGAGGAATATGCTGATATAACTTGATTAAGAAGCTGTGAGAACTACTGCACGGAAACTAGTTTTGCTTATCATTTGACAATATGAATGAAACTTTACAACAAGCTTCTAAAGTCCCATCAAGCTAGTAAAAAAGATATATCGAAGGTAAATCAAGCAAATATAGGATGCCCTTTATATATTACTTTCATAACGTATAGGTTTCTTACTTTGAGACTATTCCTCAGTTAGTCAGTGTACATTATGGTCGTAGTTCATTCATACTGGCCCTATTAGTTGTCTACTATAGCTCATTCATCGCAGTAAATTAAATAGCATTAATTCAACTACAGTTATATCTACTGTTTTTGAAATAATATGTTTACTATTTAGTTGAACCCTAGCCACAATACAACGAAAAAAGACCCACTTTTCTTCATTAGATTTTAGTACATAAGCACTCTTTATTACACTTTACTCTAGCGAGATTGTTCTACTTAAATTTAGAATCCGATTGGACCGATCAAAAGTTGTTAAAGTAGTAATTTGAAAAATGATTTCCTGGAAGATATATATTCCATTTACAAAGCCTCTATACTTAAGTGATTGCGATTGCGTAATGCCTTGTACTCAGCCGACATTTTACGTAGTTATATCGAATTCGGTTTGTCAGTGGTAGACACTTTTCATTTTTGTACTTTACTGGACAGTACCCTCGGAATGATCTACTATCAGCTTAGTGAATAGTGTTCACCTTAGTTGAAAATGATTAAAATTCTTTCTACACATTTCAAACTATTTCGTATATTGATGTTAGCGCTTACTCTCGTTACATTTTTTGTTACAATCAGTGATTATACTGACCATATGAAAAACAAAATTTATTTATACCGACTTCTCCAGACCATAAAAACATGATTTACTTAGCCGCATAGTTGCAATTATCGTTAAAACGAATTGTTTCAATGATAAACAACATGAAGCCTGACACAATTTTCTGTCGGACCCATTTGGTACACACATCTGAACAGTGAAAGAGAGAAGACGAACAAGTTAAGCTTGGAAGAATCGTGTTGATAATAGGAATTGAGTTTATAAAAGAACGAATGACAATGCGGATAGAAAAGCTAATAATGTGTACATCTACACTAATTCAACCTATTTCGAGCCACGAATTAATTGCAGTTTTTTGTTTCCTTCTGAGCAATTTTAGGTATGTTTGTGTGTAAATTTAAAATTCTTGGGGAAAGTCTATATTGTTTCGCGAATTCAATTTTAGAATCAATGAATCTTGCATTCTTGACAACTGATGTTCAAGAGAAATTCAGTATTCTTCATACATGCACACACCCACAAGGTATTGAAGTTAACCCTAAAAAACATCGACTTAGTTTCGAGAAACCCAAAGGTATATTTCAACAAGCGACCCCTTAAGGACTAGATGCTCCAATGATGAAAATTTTCCGTTCTTATGCCCCCCTCCTAATGCCACTTTTACGGTCCATAACGCACGATAGTAATCTTACAAATCACCAATGATTTTAATACTGTTATTTACTTCGATTTCAGCTATATCTAAGCAATTATTTGGTAAATTGTGTTTAAATTATAATTGTTTTTACGTTTTCTGATCTTTCTAGATGGCTAATATATTTGTCATTGCAAAGAAAAGAGAGATGTCTATAATGTTTTTAAAAATATTCATTCCTCGATACACCCTCTGATTGGTAAATTTTTAGAAATGAATTAAAAATATTAAAGTTATCCTTTCACAGTTAATAAATATTTTTTCATTAATTCGTGCAAGTGTTATTGTAGTTTATAATTGATTTAAGTCAATTTACCAGTCGTCCAGGGCATCGGTATTCAGTCAAACACTGAAGCTGATAGTTTTATGTTTATCGTTGATATCTGCTAAACGCCTCAGTCCTAGTGCATTGTATTTTTGTAACTTCATTTATTATCCTGTACGTTCGCAGTCTGAATAGTCTGATCTGAACAATCCTTGCGTCTTCTTCCAAAAGAACTCCGTTCTCCGTGTTGTTAAGTGCGTAAAGTTTTGAATGTGGTTTCAGAAAAGAGTGCTGTGGCGTTACTTGAGGAGATAGCTCTGTGATATTAAAGTACTGTTAGAGAAGTACTTATAATTTATGTATATATATTCATACTCTCTGATAATTCACATAGGTTATATTGTTTTCATTCATCTTATTAAATTGACAGGAGGCGCCTACTTTAATTAAGAATTGTAGGTTTGGCTATAAAAGTATTATTTTTCTTAAAAAAAAAAGAAATTGCGACAATAAGTCGGATGTATCCACTGTCAATAAGAAACTCATCTTTAAGCATCTCTATTTCAAGTGATAATGTCGCATTGGAAATCAGTAGACGTCTTAACAATGTATTAACTATAATCTAGATTTCAACCAAACAAATCGACATATATACTCTTTTTGCCACAGGGGTTGAATAGACCAACCTCAAATAAAATTATACCTTTCAACAATTATTATCGGTTTGACACGTAAGTCTTTCAGGATTGCAGCAGACGATCACGTTAATGTGGAAAATTCTAGTCTAATTCTTGTTTTAAAAACTACTTGACTACCTTTCTTGAGCCAGCTACCCCTCCTTAGACGTAGACCGCCGACCAAAATCTCCAAGTAACTTTGTTCTGGCCTCTCCTTCCTAGTTGTTGCCAATCAGTATTCATGGTCGTGATGCTTGCCTCTGATTGGTAGCGTTGGTCTGCTTCCTTTCGTTTTGGCTTAAGAATTCAAGTTAGTGTTTACATTGTGATACAGTATAGTGGCTTTTGCAAACTTTCTTTTGTTGACTTACAATATCTGTCTAATTTCTTCCTCAATTGGCACATACCTTTACTACTGATAGGATGAGTTTTTTATGACCATCTGTAGAACCTAGTGTAAGTGATTGTTTATGAATACTTGTACTTACTTGATGGTGATCTTGTCAGGGTTATTTTTACGTTAATGTGGAATGTTCTATGATCTTGGATGAGAGTTCGTTTGAGCTCCCGATATTCTTCAATTGTAGGAATGTTGCTCTTACCCAACTAACGCACACCTTGGGATCCGCATCAGACTATTGATTATTAGTGATACTACCGAGATTCGTAAACGTTTCCAACTCTTCCAGAGCTTCGCCATGAAGTACGATTTGGTTGATTTTCCCTGTCATATTTTCGGTGATCTTGCTTCTTCCCTTGTGAATATATAGACCTGCTTCTACACTGCCTGTCTTCACCTGTATTTGCTCAGTGGTTGGTTTCCCTTTGCTCTTGATTATTCGATCTGGTTTCTTACACTTCTCGTTAACAAAGATCCATTCTAAAAGTGTTCTGCGCTCACAATTGGTACTATGCATACGCCTGCCAGTTCACGAGGACTGGCCATCGGGTCGCCAGATACGCGGAGGGTGTATCTCGTCAGATCCTCGGTTTGGCGAGGTGAGGTCAAGTAAATGACCACACTAGGATCCTGTATGCGTGTTCCCTCGCGAATATTGTTAGATGTTTTCCTGGATATTTCTTTAGGATAGACTGTATTCTCTGGTAGGACAGGTTTTCATCATCTTTACTGACATCATTGATGGGTGTGTACCAGTGGGCAATATTCATTGCAATGTTTTCTTTTTTTGCTTTGGAGTATGTTTCGATAATTCTGTCGCCTTAGGCCTCCCATCTTATAGGCAGTTTTCGTGTTTTTCTGGACAGCATCAGTGCAACTCGTGTATGTGTGGCGCTTTCTTCCTTATGACGAGAATACAAGAGTTCTCCTGAAATGAAATGCTTTCTGTCCAGATTGTGTACATGTAGTTTTACTTATTTCACGCAGGTCTGGCTTGTGTATTGTCGTTTCTGTGACTTTAAATGATCCGGTTTTTCGCGCAATCTGGACATCCCAAACCATTTATTTGTGCTTCTCTGGTCGACGGAAGTGGCGTTGCACTTGTGTCTGGTTGTTCAGCAAATATGTACTACTATAATTTGATTTTGATGAGTTTATTGATTAAGAATCAAATAAATTCTACACTTCATTTAAAAAATATCCCCGTATGAAAAGTAAGAATGGCAAATCAGATCTTCCTATTGAGTTTACTGTTTTTACTTTGAACCAAAGTTCTTTATGGTCATCACGTTAATGTGAAACAATACTTAATTATTTGAAGATATGCTGTACTACCAATTGTGTCTCACGAAAATGTAAAATTCATCTTGTTGGGTGTTTGAGTCACGACCTTTAGGCTAGGTTATTTTTTTAACGAATGCCTAACTGTATGGTAACGCGTCTACATATACGAAGACGAAAAACATGAATAAGGAAACAGTATGAGATGCCTTTGGAATCACAGTCTGGAAAAGTTTACAACTCTGATATTCAATGGCAAGATGTTAAAAGAGCTCAGCGACCACCAGTTAAATCATTGCGTTTAAACAGATATTTCGTTTAAAAATCCCCATATTAAAATACTAATATATGAACGATGATTATTCTTTCCAGTAAATTCTCTTTGGGTTCTGCTGTAATTTTTATTTGTTTTATGAACAATCTTAAATTCACATGCTATGGTTTTATATGATGTACTTCTCTTAAACGTAGTCATTCTTTGGATTATTAATTTGAATGTGGAACTCAAAAAAATTTATTGGAATATAATACTCCGTTCATATATTAGTGCTTTAATTATCCCTTTTTTCGTCTCACTTTAAACAGTTGGCCTTCACCACATAAAGCCTAAGCTACGATGTGTATAACTTGACCGATTCAAGGACTATTCTGCAATGTTTTAAAGTAGCATCATAAGTTGTATCCTGTTAGTGCTACATTTAGATTGTCTACATGGTTCTCTCATGTATAAAATTTTACCGTCTCAAAACCCCCTGAGAAAACTTCCCGTCTACAGAGATAATATGCGGAAACATTCTCGTTGTGATACAATAGTGAACAGGACTTTGTTAACTTGAGTTACTTTTTTCATTTTGTGTCGCCAATTATTTCGGAAAGAAAACACATCAAATCACTAATCGGTTTGTAGATTACGTGTATTCAATAATCAACGACCACTTATTTTGTGCTACAATTGCTTCGTACATCAATACGCAAACACTTGAAAGAGGATATTACCAAGTAGTTTTATGTTTCGTTTTATCTTATATTCCTTCGCAAATTTGCCCTAGCCTATTTTGCATATTGCTTCATACTACTTATTTATAATCAGTAAGTAGTTGTATTCCTAGCAATTCTTACGCTTGTGTTGTTGTTGTCTTGTTGTATTTTGAAGTATGTATATGTGTTTCTGACATTTATTGTGTTTATCGTTGTAATTGATTTATCTCAATAATTGTAGCATTTCTTCACAACAATGTGTATAAAGTTATCGATTTCTTAAAACAACGGTTCACACATTGCTTGTAATTGTTTCGTTTTTTGCGTGTTGATAAACTGTTATCAAATATTGACAGCTCTCTTTATCACTATCGTATGTTGTAATTATTCTTTATGTTACGATCACAGGAATCCTTTTTTATTTCAGACAGTAATATGGCGCAGACACCTGACGTTGAGGTTTGTAACTAACTTTTATTTTATTCAATAAAGAATAGGTTTTATAGAAATCGTTGCTTTTTGAACTTCGATTTTGCACGTATCCTAATTGGGTGACTTAAAAACATTATTTAGACAATTTACGCTCTACCGTATACCAGCTCAGATTTTGGACATCGCTGGTAAAAACACAGGACTGTAGAGTCAGCAGTACGACTTCGCCCACAGACCTCGGGGAACGACTTTTCCAGTATGATCCGATTATTTGACCACGATAGACTAACCCGACCAACACTTCAAGGTAGCAACAATGAACAACTCTTTATCTCCTCAAGATAAGTGGTTATGCTAAATAACACGTGAATTGAACAATTCGATTCTTTCCTTGTTTACATTTTTAAAAATCAAAGATCCAATCTTCACTCTATGGGCATACTTAAAACAGCATTCTTGAATCAGTTCGTGACTCAATCATTGTCCTATGAAGGCATCAGTTTCTTAGAAGATATTTAAAAAACTAACAGAAAGGCATTATCAGGTACTTCAGACAAGATGTGTTTCTCAATCAATAAAATTAGATAACTTAATTACATATCCATGTAGCCTAAAACAACGCTACTACTACTAGGATTAGTCTTGAAATAATCTTATCTCGCTAATGTGATATGGCAACTTAAACAGATGCTCTTGTGTCAGGTTATACGTTGAGTATGATGATAATGACATGTATTAGGATAGCACACATTCTAGTATTGAATATTATATAACTTAGTGGTTTTTCGGTGGTCTGTTAATATAATCAACTATATTATCAATTCCAATACTGAACGGCTGCTAAGCTTTCGGATTAACGCGAGTAAGTCCGAG